AGTGTGCGGCTGCCCCTCCCCTTCCCTGCACCGAGGACAGCCTTTTAATCCGTCTGCTTAGACCCATAGTCATGGTAGAAATGGTAGCATTGATTTTCATCTTTGTAAGTAATCATGGATATATTTTCTTTAAAAAATAATAATGCCTAAAGTCTACTGCCTGATGACTCCAAAACAAAACATGGGCCAGCTTACATTACATGAAAATAGAGTTTGCCAGACCGTTGCAAAAAGATCTCCTGTTTCTACAGTTCTGCTGGAATTGACATGGAAGCTTTAAGGCCAGGACTCAGGGTATGTTTTCCAGAGACAAATTTGGAGGGGTGCTTATTGCTGTTCTTATTGTTTTGATATTATCCTTGTGAGAACTGCCCTGAAATCAATTTTGCTGAAGGATAGTATATAAACATTTTAAATACAAACAGACAAAGCAGGATAATAAAAATAAACATTGTTGCTAGGAACAGGCAGAAGGCTCTTTTTCCTCTGTAGAGCAGAAAAAATGAGTTTTTCTCCCCACAAAAGTTTTATTTTATTTTGAAATAAAGTTAAAATACAGACAATAAAAATGAACAGCGTACATAATGCTACCTCAAAATCAGTAAAAGATAAGTGAAAAATCCCTGATTATTCTTACTTTGTCATAGGACAATGAGAGACGTGCATGTACATATATATCTCTTGGTCTTTTGCTTTTAATGGTGTCCAAAGACAAAGAAAATAAGTGAATGAATGACACCCAGGAGGTATCTGAACCTGAGAGTTGTTTGCACTCTACAGCTCTTTTAGCTGAAGTCAGTGAAGCACAGTTGTTTCTACTACTGCCGCAGGGAAAGCAAATAATAGTTCTGATCATTGGCAGAGTTTGCTATGTGCTGTGATGGAGAGGGAATCTGTCCAGAGAAATCTATTAGCCCTGTTCACTGACTAGCTCTCCGCCCCCTACATGGGTCTGATAGTGAGTAGGTAGCAAAGTTTGGTAGGTTAGTAAAAAAGTCTTTACATTTTGTTAACTGTTAGGGAGCTTGAAAATCATAATCCATTTAGATTAAAGTTGGGTGGGGACATTTTGTAGCACATTGAATTGCTGTTAGAGTAAACATTAATGTTAATATTAGAAAACACAGGATTGATGGAGGAAATGGCATGTAATACTTTGTAAGCCAATGTGGTGTAGTGGTTTGGGCATTGGACTAGTACTCTGGAGGTCAGGGTTTGATTCCCTACTCAGTCATTGAAACTGACTGGGTGAACTTGAGCAAGTGACATTTTCTCAGCTCCAGAAAACCCCATGACTTAGGGTCACCATAAGCTGGAAATGACTTGACACAACAACAACAACAACAAACTTTGGTTGACATTTTGTCTCCCCCCCCCCCGCACTAGAATCTCTTGGCAAGCTGAGATACTCCTAGTATTATGAAACTGGAAATTTTTGCACCAACATGCATCACTTTGCACTAGATTTCACTGAATTTTGATTTTAATAAACATTCCTCCAGTTTAAAGAGGGTCTTTTGGAACTCTTCACAATCTGTTTTTGTCTTCACCACTCAAAATAACATAGAGCAGTGATGGCAAACCTTTTAAAGACCAAGTGCACAAACTCAGTGGCATTCCTACACTGGGTGTCATCCAGTGCTGGGGGGTACTTATGGGAGTGGGACTTCTAGGGGGAAAACCCAAGGCATAATCTCTCAGCCTCAGGCTAGCAATAGCAAACCCCTCTCTGATGAAACCTGCCAAGAAAACTCCATGATAGTTTCACCTTATGGATGCCATAAGCTGGAAATGACTTAAAGGCACCACATACTCAAGTCACACTCTCTCAGCCTCAGAGGATGGCAATAGAAATCCACCTCTGATGAAGTTTATCCCATGATAGTTTCACCTTAGGTCCGCCAGGAACTTGCACTTGGAAGAGAGAGAGGGTGCTCTGGGCACTTTCACTCCCTCTGAACTGCCATTTTTCTCATGAGTAAACTGGTGCTCGGAAGGGAGGGAATGTGCCCATAAGTTGAAAACAACTTGGAGACACACAACAACAACAAGCACAATAAAGTACAGATGGCACAGCACAAGAACAAGAACAAATAGAGCCAGTGGCTTGAACATGTGACTCTGGAGACCAGGGCTCAAATCCCAGCTCAGCAATGAAATCCACTGAGAGACCTTGGACAAGTCACACTCTCTCAGCCTCAGAGGAAGACAACAGCAAAAATTCCCTCTGAAGAAATCTTGCCAAGAAACCCCCATGATGGGTTTGCCTTAAAGTCGGCATAAGATGGAAACTACTTGGAGAAGACTTTGTGCGTAGAGTCTGGAGCCCCGACCACTGGAAAGAGCCAGGGCTGGGGTTTGAGTATTGGAGCCTCTGTCACCAGTCCCAACATCAAGAATGAAGCCTTTGGACTCTGAGACCCAAGTCCTTGCTTTGGCCCTAGCCCTCTCTGGCCAACAGGGTTCCAAAGCCAAAAACTGCCCCCGAAGCCAAGCCCTGCCAGCCGGAGGGAGCCAGCACCAGTGCCAGGGCAGGGACTTGGGTCTCAGAGCCCAGAGGCTCCATTCCAGATATTGGGCCTGGGGAGGCAGGCTTCGAGACACAAGCCCTAGCCCTGGCTCCCTCTGCTTTAGAGGGGTAGGAACTTCAGTCCCATTCTCCTTAATGATGATGCAGCAAGCCTGGGGGGGGCAGAAGAGGAGGAGAAGGAGGAAGGAAGAGGAGGAAGGAGCATGAGGAAAGAAGAGGTGGAGGAAGAAGGAAGATTAGGGAAGCAGTGGCAGTGTGGTGGAGAAGGAAGGTGCATGTGCCCACAGAGAGGACTCTGCATGCCCCCTGTGGCATGTGTGCCATAAGTTCACCACCACTGAGATAGAGTCTTCAACTTCTCTATGTACCCCTAACACCACGTTTTGCATCCAGGGGTTCTCTACACTTTAAGCTTGAAAGGTGTACAGTGGACCTTTAGTATATATGAGGGTTTGGTTCTAGGACCCCCATGATATGAAAATCTGTGGGTACCCCAGTACCATTATATGTCATGCTGTAGTAAAAGGGTGTCCCTTATATAAAATGGCAAAATCAAAGTTTACTCAGGTGTGTGTGTGTGTGGTCTTTTTTTAAAATTCAAGATATAGAGGGTTGAATCTGTGAATGCAAAATCTATGGATATGGAGGGCCAACTGTACATGTCTTTAGTATCTTTTGAGAGTATTTGACTGCATTCTCTAACATATCTCCACAGTTTTTGCCCTTAAAATAATACAGTGGGAGCATGTAGGTGCTAGGAGAAACACTTTGGATTTACTAAAAATGGTCTCCGCTGCTTGCTATATTAATTGTATTAACTTATAAATTCCATTTTCTAATCTTTTATTTAATATTTTGCTGTTGCTTTTGTGGTAGCCAGACTGATACTTTCAGTTCACTGTGTTATTATTTTAATGCAATTTATTTTGTGTTCTCATTTTGCAAAAATGTACCAGCAGTTAAGCAAAATTAAGAATGACCAGCCTACCAAAGGTGACCCCACCCTAACACACACACTTGAAAAAAAATGGTTCCAGGGTCCCTAGATGACATTATTGACTTTATTTTTGGACAGCTCCTTAGCTTAGGGCCTAAGCAGATGGCGCAATGCGCCATCTTCGAGGCCAGGAAGGGGAGGGGAAGCCTCACGCTGGGCGCCCCAACCCCTTCCCGAAAACATTGTTGGAGCAGCCGGCCCTCTGCATGGCCGGTGCTCCGACGACGCACTTCCGCTGCAGCATCCGCACACGCTTCAGCAGAAGAGGCGGCGAAGGTGTGCCAGAGGCCTTTTGCGGTGCACCTTCAGCATCTTGCGGTAGGAGCGCTATTTTTGCGCTCCTTCCTGGGACTGGGATGCTGCGCTGTGGGTCCGAGGAGTGCAGATACCTCGTCCCCAATCCGCAGCTTCCGGGGGCGGCCCCATGCCGCCCATATGCTTCCCCCCCTGAGTCTTACTGGGACTGAAATGATTGCAGTTCAAAAACTTCTGGAAGAACACAGTGGGCCTATACTGGCACATGCTACTATCATCATATAATGTTTTGGATAGGGTGGCAGTCTCACTGCGGGATTTCTGGCCTGCTGAGATGGTTTACATAACCTTCACATGACTTTTTAAAACCTCTAAAAAGAGGAACCAGCATGAAATAATGGGGCAGGGGCATCACTATGGATGAACAATTTGCCTTGCTGATATTCACTGGATGGAGGGGGCAAGATGGGGCTACCTCCTCAAATATGAATTGGAACTGTAGTCAGCCTTCCCCTTTCCCGTGTTTAATACTGTGTACGTAGTTTGACCAGATTCCGCCCCCTACCACTTTTACCCTAGCTCTTCAAATATGCTAACTATGTCCCCATTATGTTTTCTTTCACATTTGTCTCTTCTAAAAATGACTACCACATTTAACTCCCTTTTACTGGAAGCTGTTATGCACTAAGGCTGTGTGTATTAAGCTCCCAATTTGGTTCAGAGCCTAATTTGGATCTGGATCCAGTTTGGCCTGTATCAGTCTGGACCCAATCCATTCTGGAAATTTGAGAATCGAGATTGCCAGTCCTCTGTGTCTGTTTTGCAGTGGAAAATCAATGGCTACAACTCCCCCCTTCCACACATCTGCATGAAATTTGCAGATATTGGCTGCATCTGCACTGCAGGAATATTGTGGTTTGACATTGCTTTAACTGCCATAGTGCAATATTATAGAATTCTGGGATTTAAAGTTTTGTGAGATATTTAGACTTCTCTGTCAGCGCTCTGGTACTACAACAACATACAAATCCTAGGAGCCAAGACAGTTAAAGCAGTGCTGAACTGCATTAATTCTGAAGTGCAGATGCAGCCATTGTAAACCTTAAAAAGGGATTAAACTAACCCAATTTCAGACAGGTAAATTCAGGGTTAGGGTGGCTTGCCTGTAAAATTTGCTGTTTACCAAAAAAAAAAAAAAAAAAAAAAAAAAAGAGAGAGAGAGAGAGAGATGTTACTAAAAAGCAGCTACTGGGCTTCAATGATACAGAAAATAAAGAAATATTGTGTTTTTAAATTATAAGCTTCCTTGAGTCCCAGTTTTGGGAGAAAGATGGAAGCAAACAAAAAACAACTACAAAAACTAGGCAGATGAGGAGAGACTATTTTCCTGGTGATGTCTCCCTACTACCTTCCCCTGCTCCTCCCTAAACTGTCAGTTGATCTTGTTAGCCAAAGTGCATTTTTCTGAATTTTGGTGTGTGTATGAATTCCACAAAACCCCAGATGTACACTGCAATGGACCCCAAATGCCACCTAGGCAATGACAGGCAGGTCATATCAAGGTCACTTGGAAGACTGGAAAAAACCCATCCCAAAGCCAGGAAGATAGTGTGGGAGTTGCAAATGGACCACCATCACCTCCATAATCTCAAGAATGGGCAATAAGTGCCTAGATGTCTCCTGGTGGGCCAGCTAATGACTTAATCCTTTCCCATTCATTTTGAATATTGCCAGACCATACAATATTACCCTATCCATACAATCTCAAATCTTTGCACTGCAGCTACTTTTAGCCCTTAAAAACCCCTGGATTTTCCCGCCTCAGTGTTGCTCTGATCAAGTTACTGGCACTTCTGTTCAAACCAACACTCTCAGAACAGTTGTGTCTCATGTCACATCACCCAATTGGATCCTGGAGAAAGCCTCATCTGTATTAAGTATCTTCCAGTTTTGCCTCAACATCTTTCCCAAGCTAACCCCTTCCTGAGCCTTGAATGAGTGTGTGTGTGTATGTGAATTGCTGTGTGATATCCCCCTTTAATAAATAATACTTTAATTGGAGAATTCTGTCTCTGTAACTCGGCCCCTTGGTATACATGTGGGAGACGATCCCGCAGGGTTCTTATAGCCACCACCCTCTCAATTTGAGCTAAATAAAATTCTAGACTTTTGGCTACAAACTGGGCTGGCATTTGAAATATTTAATTCCTGAACCCATAGTTTTCAGTTTTCCCAATACAGCTCTTCCACAATTAAATGTCTAATCCTCTTGGAAGAGAGAAGAAACAGAGAGTTGCAGCCCTGACCAGTATTAAAAACCACACAAATAGTGTATCAGTATAACGATAACAGATTAAAATACAAACTAAAAAATAAGCTATATAAGTACAGTATCTAGCCAAATCTTTCTACACGATAATAAGATGTCCATTTGTCAATTGAGGGTGCAGTT